CTGTGGCTTATTTTGAAATTGGAAAGAAAGATTCATTTCTAATTAGTATTGAAAAACATCTGGTTTCCAGTTCCCATGAGGTTTTGCAAGACAGTGACAGTTAATTGCCATTAATTCTAACAAAGTGTTTCATTCCTAACTTACCATCATACTCTAATAATCAGAAATAATTAAAATTACTTTTACATTAAAAGTTTTATAAGAATGTAGAAAGCTGTTAGTCAATTCATAATGAGATAAATGAGGACAGAGAGTCTTTCTTTGTTCTGCGTAACAGAGATTGAAGCTCATTTGGAGTCTATCACTGGACTCCCGGGCACTATCACAAAACAAGAAATAAATTATAACAGTAGAGCAGTGCAAATTTTACAGCTACAAGCCTGTGCTGTAATTTTTAATGATGTGTGCGAGCCTGCTGCAGTGTTCATAACAAATATTCTCACAGTCTCATGCACATGTACTCATCCTCTTTACAATGTTTCTTTCCTTCTTGAGTTTTTTTTTAATCATTGTCAGTCTGCTGCAATCTCATTCCATTTTCTGAAGTTTAGAAAATGAGCTTAAAACCATTTGTTACAGATCAATGAATGAAGTGCATTTGGGTGGGGGCATGGGGATGAGGGAGAAAGCAGCAAAAGAGGGTTAGCCTTGTTTGCTTGACCAGCTTCCATATTTCAGTAACTTGCAATGGGTTTCTCAGTCATTAGTCTGAATGAGTGAGGTTTTCTGGTAATAATAAGATAGCAACATGGTTTGCTACTCAAGACAGCAATCACACTTAGGTGGAGCTCTGCTGTCTTAATATGAAAATGCAAGAAGTCATTCTTCACTTTGTGATATCTGGAGGCCTTGTGTAAGAACTCAGAGGTCACAGATGACCTTCAAAGTCACAAAAGACAAAGAAATGTTGATGAAAACAAGGACTAAAAGCATGGGTTTCTACTTTTTCCTGAAGAATTAGTGCTCCCTCTGATATCTCTGGCTGATCTGTTTAGAATAAAGAGAATGTCCTACTATATTACCTCTACATTACTTGCACAAGGCTTTCACCAGAACTCTTTTACCACTGAGTACTCTGGTAGCACATACATTGGTGCATTCCCCTCACACATTTTCAAGCAACAAGCCAGATCAGTTCAAAACAAATATAATGTCTCTGACTTTCGAAGTACTCATTTAAAATATGGTTTATTTAAGTTTTTGCACTAAGGTGGTCATCCAAATCTTATTTCCGCCATTTATTTTTGTTGGGGTTTTTATTTTGTGTTTTTATATGGAGAAAGAAAATTACCTTATAATATATTTGCTACAAAGTGTGAGATTAAAGTAAATCCTAAGTTCATAAATGACCCCCAACAGAAGTCAAAGTTTGAAAATCTGGACTTGGTGTGTCCTGCAGAAAATTGCCAACATTCTGGACATTCAGGAAAGCAAGTAATCAAAAGTAATTTAGCTAGAATTTTGGAGACAGACTTTCATTCTTAATTCCCTATTTTATGCTGTAATTTGGTCAAAGAGTACTACACAGCACTTTCTTTTATATCTCTCAGGATATTATTCAGATATTTATTTAGTCCTTGAAACATACACATAAATCAAGAATATTATCTCCACTTTGTACATAAAGAAACTCAGTCCAGGATAGGACACACATCAAGTTCACTCAGCTACCAAATGACGGAATTGATTATTGGACTAATAAAGACTAGAATGGAAACTCAAGCTGTCTTGAGTGAGACCATCTCTACTGGAAGTTGGTGTGGGGACCCATGAAAGACATAATTGCTTTAATTCTAAGAAAACAGTACATTACCATAACATTTTAGTACAAAGACTGTTCTGTAAACACGCCACTCAGAAAACCATTTTCCAAAATTCTCAGTATGAATAACTGCCATTTTTCCATCTCAAAAGACAGAGTGAAGATTTCTTCTTCATTTCTCACCCCTTCCGAAGTCTTAATTAATGCAATTCCTACAGAGAATAGTGAGGTGGGAAAACTGAGATCTCTGCTGACCCACTGAATTAAAAGTTTTCTTCTGTTATAAGATTTAGAAACACATCAACAAACATTTTTAAGGCAAAAGCCAATCATATTCTGATCCAAGATGTCACTTCTTCCAACAATATCAGATGTGCTTTTATTACAACAGGTCACAGACACATTCATACCTTGAATGATTTTTTTAGGAGAAAGAAAAGTAAGACTTTTTGACGTGCATTTTAGAGTTAATGGATTCATTAAAGACATAACTTTTTGTTTTCAAACTATTAAGAATAGTTTTTATTTTATGTCGTTCTTTTCAGTATTAATTACTGTGCTATTTTTATTCTCCAGTTATATATTTATGTTTTAGAAGAAAAAAAAAGTGATGTTACAGAAGCCATTACCGTCTGAAATAGCAGTTCTGCAGAGGACCAAGTGTCCATACCAGCAATTTGCTCTCTGGTGTTTGTCAGATATTAGACAAATATGTCCATGTTTCCGAAACAGTTAATGTCCTTTTTTTACCTAGTAACAGAATGACAAGTCTATTTTAAGATTATTTTTATTTAGACAGAAGGAAACTCTTCTTCTATACGTATGTGTAGATGGTGAAAGACCAAGCAATCTCATTAAGCACTTCTGAGGCATTCTTTTTTTTTTTCTTGTATACTGTATCTGACAGTAAGAATATATGGAAACCAAAACAGATACTGAAGTGATCCACACTCAGCAAAGGAAAAGAAGAACATAAAGGATTCCTACACTCAAACTCAATTGTAGATTAAATAACTTCATAGATAATGCCAAACTGAACAGCCCAACTCCTAAATTTAGTTTAAGTCAACGGAAATATGGTAGCTAATGAGATACTAGCTATATGAGCAGTATAGGCAATTATTTCTATATTTCTCATTCAATGAAAACCTCCAACTGATATATTTAAAATTAATTTTCTTGCAAAAGGACACTCTTAATTAAAAGTTCCTTAAAAGAATGTCCTTATCATCTACACAATTTATAATATTTGTACTAGGATATCCTCCAGCTCATAAAAATTTAATTATTAATCTCAAAAACACTTGCAGCACTCAGTGAGAAATATAACAAAAATACACTAGTTGCAACTTCAGTCAGAAAGCATACTTTCATACTACTAAATGGAAAATTCGTTGATTCAAGAATTTAAACTTACAGTCAATACCCTGTATACCACAATTTATTTCACTGCATTTAATCTGTGGAAAAGGTCAGAGAAAGATGTTCTCGAATTTCTCTGTATACAAAAAAGTGCCTTATACAGAAAAAAAAGTCCTGTGTTGAAGTTCATTTCCAATGGAAGCAGAATTTGACTTCAACTCCTAAGTTCTGTTTTATTTTTGTCTTGTGCTGAGATGAGGATGAAATCTGCCCTCTCAAATAAAGAGAGTTTATAACCTCTTATTTATATTTCAACACTGATTGAATACATATTCTGCTTTCATTTAGCTGACATAATGAATCTAATATTCAGGAGTCAGAAAAGAACTCAGTTCTATATTATGTTTAAAAAATAGAAATGTGTTTCTTTGTACATATTTTAGTCATATCTCAGTACTTAAACCTTCAAGAGAAAAAAGTTCATATTCACTGGGACAGTTGGAAAAATTGCACTCTTGCTCACAAAATTTTCAGCTTCATTACTTTTAAGAGTCACTCTGGAGTGCAGGAGACCAGATTTCCCTTCACTATTTACAGTGTGTTACAAATGTCTTAGAATTCGGTCCAATTGTGAAATGGGATAGCAATGAATTTTGAGAGGTTTGAGCTTTCCTGAAATAGGTTTTTCAATCCCTAGTGAATTAGAGATGAGTTTATAATTCTGTTATCAAATCAAGGTAGCTGTATACTACTAGCTGTGATACAAAGGTTAAAGTTTAAGAAAGAAAAAATTCCACCTTATTTAATCAATTAAAAATTATATGACCATACTGGGATGGTTATGTCTTGACTGTTGTGATTACCTTATGACAGAAATTACTACCCAGCACCAAGAAAGCCACACAGCTTTTGCTTAGTTTATGGCATAGTATAGACAGTACTACATAGACACACCTGATTTCTCCTAGCCTATAAACATCACAGTGTAACTGAAATACTAAAATAAAAAATAGTTAAAAAATCAGATGGAGCAGATATTAAAAAATTTCAATCCAAATATTAAAACATAGGCCCTATAAGTTTAAAACTTTGGAAGAGGATCCACAGGTGACTCTGTCTCATATTACATATTCTTTGGTAGATGGAACATAGAGGGAATGTTAGAAACTCATCTAGAACACTCTAGATTGCAACAATGTGAGAGCAGACTATTTGTTTAGTGCACTGAAAAACTGTGCTAGCACATGAGATTAAAAAAATAGTGTCTGTAACTCCAGGTTAAACGGGATCCTCAAAGAGAATTCTACAAGAATAAAAAAAAATTAAAAACTGCATACAATGCACACTGGCAACTACATTGTGAGACCTTCTCTGGTTTGCTTCTTTACTTGAATCTGTGTGTAAATGTGTCTGATTAAAAAAACAACTCAGCATCTCACATACCATTTTCTGACATTTCTGAACCTGTGGTCCACATGCTGCAAGCTGACAACCAGTAGAAAAATGGAAGATGTCATCACCAGGAGAGAAGGAACAAGAACAAATATGACTAAGTAGTAGATAAAATGGTAAAGGGTAAAGTTAGGACTGAGGGAATAAAGAGGAGGAAGGAAAGAGAAGTATTAAAACATTGGTCAAGAAATGCAAGTGAGAAGAAATATGCTTAGAATAATCAGACTGGCAAGAATGCTTAGCAGGAAAAATTTGTTCTTGGCACTGAACTGATGAAAATCTTTCCTATAGATGTGTATCTTTTCTTTGCTAAGTCACGTCTACATAAGCGGACATTTGTGACATCATTGCTAGCCATGAGGTAGATGGAAGCCTTAGGTGTATCACCTCACCAGCCAGTTTGCATGTGCTAGTTGTGCACCCTGTTCTGCCAGTCAATACACAATGAGGTTTTTCTGCTTTTCTTTCAGAATCTTTGCATTCCGCAATTAGTTTTCACAGATCTTGAAATGTTCTTATCTAAACTTTGGCTTTCTCTGTTAAACCTGGTAAAAAGTTCAAAAATTATTAGGTGTGGAAGAGAGTGAGCATTTGTCATAGAAAAGAAGACAAGTAATACTTGTTCTCTCTGGAAAACAGCTTCTCTTTGAGGGAGGAAGTGAACTACAAATAGCTTATTTGGGATATCTTGGATATCAATCAGATTCACTGTTCATAGCTGAATACTGAATTTTGGAAGTAAAGACAGTGTAAGGTTGAAGTGTAAAGTATGTAGATACGACTGAAGAAAATGAGATTCATGAATGAATAACTGATTAGTTTCTGAAAGGAGTATGTAAGCTTGTGCCTCTGGGCATGTTAAATTGAATTTACCCACACTTCTGCTTTACACAGTTGGAAATTCACATTAGCACAAAAATTGGTATTATATAGGCAGTATTTTCAGATGACCAAATTATTTTTGTAAACCTGAAGCTATATTGTAATGATACTTGTGATGAAATTGGAAATTTAGATTTCATCTAATACCTTATAAATCCTATCAAATCTTGAGGCTGTAAAAGTAGACAGTGCAGTGCTAAAGAAATACATATCTGTATTACTAAAGTTGGTCCTTATTGGGCCACCGAAGAGTTGTCGCCTCTGCAACCTGGCACTAAACTGAAAAGCAACATAAACAAATCTCCTGAGGTAATTCCGGCATGAATTACCTCACTAATCACCAAATCAAATCAGAATGAAAAAAAAAAGTAGCAGTAACAGCATCAACTTTCTTTTTCTTTTAACAAGTTCTTTCAAGTAAGTTTTTCCAAGACCTCATATTCATAATATCTCTATATTATAAAACATACAATTTTCTATTTACTGTTAGAGTCTCAATATTTAAATTGAGTTGGTTTTAAGAAAGTAAATGATACTTACCATTGTTGTTTTCTTTTTTAGTGTTTTCTGCATTTTAATGGATTCTTTTTAGTGTTTTCTGCATTTTAATGGATTGGTTTTATTGCAAAAGAAGTGAGGTTTTAGAAAATGAAGAAAATGAGAAAAGGGTAGGTGAACCATAAATTTAAGAAGAGTTGGTGTGAGTGATTTGCAGTCAGTCATTGTGCAAGACAAAGGTTTGGCTTACCCAGTGCTGCTCAGAGCACAGTATTGAATGAAACAAATATTTTTCAGGTTTCTTGGCTCTGAGTGATCATGAGAATAATGTTCAGTTGTGTATCAGCAAATCTAAAATATTATTGATTCAATTAGTCAATGTAACTAATAAGTCACATCATGCTTTCAGGCTGCATATGGATGCATTTCCCGATGAAATCTAGACACATGGAAACCCAGGCCACGAAAGAGGCACTGAGTGGGTGCATCATACCCCTGTTCTAAATGATCAGGGAAAGAGCATCACCTCTCACATGTTGCCACTGATCCACCAACCAATTATTAGATCCTAATCTTTCTGTCCACAAAATCAATGGGCTTTGTACAGCTGAAGGGGGCAAACCACATACTTGAAGCTGTGTAGTTTTGAGAAATTGCCCCGAAATTCTATCAGTCTTAAGTATTACAGAATCACAGAATGGATAAAGTAGACCCAACACACACTGGGGCATCTAGTCACTCCCACCTCAATTTTTCACAGTCAATAATTTCTATTATTTTTCTAATTGGCGTGCCCAAAGCAAAAAGCAACCAGTGCCTTAAGGAGTCCTCAAAAGATTAAGAATCACAAAATCGGATAAGAATTGAGGTTGGAAGGGACAACTGGAGTTTCAACTATCCTGTTCAAACAGAACCATTTGAAGCTGGTTGGACAGGATCATGTCCAGCTGGTCTTTGAATATCTCCAAGAAAAGATTCACAAATGCTCACTGGCAGTGTGTACCAGTGTTCAATCACCCTCACAGTAAAAAAATGATTCCTGATGTTCAGAGGAAACCTCGTGTGTTTTGATTTGTGGCCATTGCCTCTGGTCCTGTCACTGGGCACCACTGAAAAAAAGACCCTTTCTCTGTCCTCTTTATACTTTCCCTTCTGGGAAGATATAAAGATCTTTTGCAGATCCCCTCAGGCCTTCTCCAGGTTGAACAGTCCTAACTCTTCAAGCTTTCCTCATTGACGAGATGCTCCATTCCCTTAATCATCCTTGTGGTCCTTCATTTGACTCTGTCCAATATGTCTCTCTTGTACTGGGGAACACAGAATTGGACACAGGACTCCAGGCGTTGCCTTACCAGTAGCCAAGGATCTCCTTATAGTCCTTCCTGCTGTGCTGACAGGTAAACATTGTAACCATCATTTTGAAATCAATTTAATATCTTGAAGAAATACTTGCAGTAATTTATTAATGTCGAATGACAGACAATTATAAAAAAAAACAAACAACAAAAACAAAACAACAAAAACCCAAGAAACACTTGCATCTGTGTTGGTGGTGGCTCATTAAAAGATGCAATTTGAAAACTATTAATCGCAGAGTATATGCCCTTAATCCAATGGAGTTTCATTGAGGGAGATAGAAACACTCAAGAGAATTACAGAATCATAGAATAGTTGGATTCAGAGAGTCCTCCTATAGAGATCATTTAGTTCAAATCCACTGCCATAGGAAGAGACATCATTCAATAGATCAGGTTGATCAAAGCCCCATCCAACCTGGCCCTGAACACTTCCAGAGCTGTGGAGCACCTAAAATTTCTCTGGGCAATCTCTTTCAGTGTCTCACCACCTTTAATGTAAAGGATTTTCTCATGTTTCATCTTTCCGTTTGCAAATGTTACCCCATGTCCTATCACTACTTGGTAAAATTCTTGCTATCATGCTTATAAGCCCTCTTTATGTACTGGAAAGCTGCAATGAGTTCTCCCTGGAGCTTTCTTTCCTTCAAGCTGAACAACCCCAGCTCTCCCAACCTCTCTTCATAGAAGAGGTACTCCAGCCCTTTGATCGTCTTCATGGCCCTTCTCTGGACCCACTCTAGCAGGCCCATGTCTTCCCTTCTTCTGGGGACACCAGAGTTGGATTTAGTACTCCAGGTGGGAGTCTCACAAGAGTACAATGGAGGGGGAAAATCACCTCCCTCAACCTGCTGATCACACTTCTTTTTATGCAGAATACAATTGGCAGTTTAGGCTGGAATTGACTTTTAGTCAATGCAAAATGGGTACAGGAAATCAACAGGGAGTTAAAAAAGTCAAGTTGACCTCTATAACTCTCAAGAATCTGAAATTCTAGGCTGACAAATTTTGGCCATAGAAATACAAGGATAGAGATATTAAGGAAATGCATACACTGGCATTGGCCAGAGAAACATTAGTCTGAGAACAAAAGTGGTTTCATATTGCAGAAAGAGGATATTGCTTTTCATAGTCCATACCTTCAAAAAAGGTGAAGTCAGGTGAAGTAAAAAGAGAGATTCTTTTTTTTGCCTCATAACCCAGCACAAATTTGTTTGTACCCAAAAACCTGACTACACAGAAATATAAACACTTTAGAAAGCATTCCTATTAGTATATCACCAACCAATTTCTTTCCAAAAAGACAAATATGTTTTAGGACATCTTTACATTTAGCTAGAACTTAAAGGTTTTTCTCTAACAATAATTGCTTAAGGAAATGTATGAGAACTAATGGTCTTTCCCACGTGCCAAAAGCTTGTCCCTACCCCAGTCTGCAGATGAGTAGTGTAATCATAAATCTTTATTAAGGGAAAGACACCACATCAAATATCTTCAAACTCTCTTCATTTATTCTGTCCTTCATAGAATAACTTTATTCATTGATTTTAAGATCTAAAGAGCGGTAAAGTAGACGTACAGGTAAGGAAGACAGAACAGTGTGGGAGAACTTACCACCAAATAAACTACTAAAACTATCTTTTTATGATTTCAGCAAAGACTTTAAAACTGACATCAAAATATTGAAAGAATGAGGAAGATTAGTATGTTCTCTGAGTAACATTTCTCACAGTGCAGAAGGTCAAAATCAGGCTGTTTATTTTAGTCAGTAAGTTTCAGTATTAGACTACAAAAAATACAGGTGATTAGTAAGCAATGATGATTGCCTATGTTATATGACTTATCTGTGTCTTTGAGTGATCGTTAAGGAAGTTGATGTGCTGAGCACAGAGCCACATCAAACTATCTACAAACAATACCACATTTAGCTGTGGGGCAGTCTGTGCTTTGCATCAGTCCCCAGTCATCCAGATCTGAATAGCCATTGGAGTGCACAGGGGGGCACATGATCTTTTCTTCAGTGGGTAATGAGTGATGCAGAGGTCTAGAGTTTTCATCCCAAAGTGAAAAGAGATCATGGCCATAATGTACACACAAAGCCCATGGTGTGCACCAGGAATGCATCTTCTATGCAGTATGTTCTTTGGAATGTATTGCCCTGGTTCTGCAGCCAACTCTGGATTGTCTGCATGTTTTATACTAAACACTCCCTGAATAAAATCCAAAAATAATCCAGCATTTGTCATTCAGACAATTCAGACAACTAGAATGCTACTTGATTTCCTACATAACCAGCACACCTCTATTCATGTATTACTATGGTTGCACCGTGTCTCAGATTCCACTGGCTGGGTGAGAAGAGCCCTGTGCCACTGTCTGTGATATGATTCTGTAAATACTACAATAGAGGGTTCAACTTCTTTAGACTGAAGACTACCTAGAACTCAAGTGTTTGATATGTAATTCAATTTCAAAGATTCCTGTCATCTTGTTTAAATACAGGAAGAGAGTTGCGTTAAAGCTTTTACTTCAAATGCAGTGTGTCCCCGGGATGTACTATAGAGCATACTACATGTGACCAAGGGAAAAACAACCCCAAACAATTAATTAATGGAATGCTTAATGAAAAAAAAACAAAAAACAAAAAAACGACAAAAAAACCCCAAACAAACACCCCACCAAAAAAAAGAAAAAAAACAAAACAAAACAAAAAAACACATTAAAAGTAAGCTTTCTAATGCAAACAAATAACTGAAAATGAGTAAGGTTGTCCTGAAAGGAAGAGTGATTCCAGTACAAATGCATGGATTTCTAGTCTCTGAATGTATCTGAAGGCACAAAGCAGGTGCAACCTAGTCAATTATCTCCTATTATCTGTATTATTAAGTATGGTTGTTCATATAAATGATATTATAACTGTCTATCACAGTCCTTTGTGACTCCTGAATTTCTGAAACTCTTAGCGAAGCCAGTGTAACTATTTCTTTTAGTGTAGCTCTCCTGGAGTTCAGAGCCTACTGTAGTGCCAGTGTGGAACACTGTGAGGCCCAAGAGGGAATTCACTGCAGGTGTGCAAGAAAGAGACACCTCCTCTGTCTGTCTGTCACAGGAAGGATGTTAACAAGCCCTATGAGGATTTGGGTCTGCTTATTCTCTTCTGTACTTCTAATTAGGAAACAACCTAAAGGTCTCTGTCAGACACCACGGAGAATCAATTACCCAACTGGGAATGAAACATTTACGTTTTAGAAATTTTTGACTACACCAAAAAAAGAAATGAACCTTTTTAGATAACTACAGCCTTTAGAAGTTTTACTTGTTCTGGAAAGATTTCAAAGTATTACTACTACTTCCAAGAACCTACAAAAAAGGATTTGATCGAGACCTTACTTCAATGTCTTACTAAATCATAGTCATGCAAGCTAAATTAGTATATAAGAGAGACTAACTGTAAAACCTCAAAAGATATAATAGCATACAGATTAAATGCTTAGCATGTTTCTGGACATATTTTACAGATTGTGTCCTCATAATACAGTGTCCATAAAATGTAATACTTCTGTGGTTCGTTCATTCTATACTGCTCTTCTAAAACTTGCAAATTTCCAGCTGCTTTCCAGTACCCCTATGGAAGAGGACATATCCATTCTCCAGGGATTTCCTCAGTAAATGGAAGTTCTCAGAGCTGTAGTGATACAGTACTCGTTTCCATACATTTAAACACAACTGCCCTGTTTTCTTGTAAAAACAGATGTAATCTTCTTCCCCACAGAACAACTTCTGAATGTAGTAGTGGACACCAAATTTAGACATCTAGAGGACAATTCTCTAGTGCCAATTAAAGCAGTTCAGAGTATACCCATCTCTTACTTCCTGTGCTCTGTGCTGGAGGATGCTGAGAGGAAGTGAGAAAACACAGTTCTCCCAGTATGCTAGTGATAGTGCTTCATTCTAATGAAGCACTGGCACAAGCCGGTACTTGCTAGTCCTGCAGGGAGAAGGATGGTTTAATTTTAACAAGCATATGGAAAGATAAAAAGAAATCTTAGTATAAATCACTAAAGTGGTTAATTAATTAAGGGACACAAACCCATAGGAAATCAAGCACTGTTTCCAGGGATCATTAATATACTTGGCTGTTGCTGTTGTTTTTTTCCCCTCCCCATGGTTCTATGAGAATTTTAAGATGAAATAATGAAGCAAGATACTATAATTCCTACTCTTCTTTACACATTGGCTACAGCAGCAATAATGAGAACTTTGGCATTAAATACGGTTCTTGATAATTTTGGAGCTATTGGGCATGATCAGATTCAGATACACTTTCAGAGAGGGATAAAAATCAGGCAATCTCCTAAGTATTCTAATGTTATTAACTTGAGAAGAATTCTTCCCAGATATTGGTTTTCATAGTGTGTAACCTTTCTTTCAGGTTCAAAATTAAAACAGACCAGATACTACACATTTTAGGAATTGTGTTTAGAAACAAAATTAGGACTTGGAAGTAAACCATTCTTTTTCAGAAGGAAGTATTTCTGAAGTATTTTCATAAAAAGTGAAAATTTCATTTTGCTAATATAGTAAACATGGTAAGTTTAAAACTTACAACTGGTTTTTTAGTTCAACTTTATTTTCTTGAGATGTCACTAAGCTTATTCTCATTTTACTATGTGACTGCAACTGGTTTTCTAGAAGCTAGATCAAAATAAGTTTTTCCTTTTTCTTAAAAAGAATATTTGTTAAAAAAAAATCCACAGACATTTAAAAAAAAAAAAAAAGAACAAACCTATTAAAATCTTTCAGCAGTGAAAGTCATGACCTCCTTGTGCTGTTATTTTCTGTCCAGTTACTGAAATGTAGAATCCAGATGTATGCCTGTTCTGCCTTTACAACTGAAAACAAGGGTGACTTAGAGAATTACTTCAACACACCCCTTGTCAGTGCTACAGACCATTAACAATACTCTAAATAGCATGATCAAATCCCAAATTGCAGATTCAGTCATAAAAATGTCTACATTTCATGCTGATTCAGAGGGGTAGCAACATTAACTGCAATCATCAAGGAATGTGACATCTCCACAGGATTTTGTACAGCTCACCGATCTGGTGACAGGACAATTGTTAAAAATTAATGGGGATCATCAAATGTGGATAAGTACAGCTTGGCAACTATGAAAGCCATACTTCTCATTTGCAAGTGATAATGTAGTATTATTCCATGATGATAGATTGTAATAGATTATTTAGATTATGCTTTATTCAGGAAACAGTAAATCTTCTTACTCTTTGAAATTCTGACCACAATATTTATTTTTTAAATAATTTTTTTTAATTTTATTTTTTAAATAAATAGAGATAGGAGAAAATTTTACATTTTTTTCTAATTTTTCTCTGTTGAAAATACACTTCCACCTTTTGTTTATCCATTATAATCCTTCACTTCTCAATCAGTTAACATTCTAAGAAAGTCGAGATCCTAAAATCCAAAGTTTATGAAGAGATTCATTCTGATAGTTAATAAGCAAAATATCAATATATTGTAAACAGTAATTCCCACCTCCATGTCTGGATTTATAAGGAATGATGTGAGTTTTATTGATATATTCTTACTACTTTACATGCCTGTATTTTTAAAGTGCAACAAAATATTTCAACCAAAATCACCAGCCTGACGAAGGATCTACTGAATTACATAATCCAGGTTGTTTTATGCATTGGGGCAGAGTAAACTATCACACTGTTTAGAAGATTGCTTAAATACTCCTGCATAGAAGCTGATCCAAAAAGGATGATCAGATAACTGGAAGGATGATCCTGTTTATCATTATGGACAATGATCATTTGTTCTGAAGTTATAGATTCTAGACACCTGATGTTGTTGTCCGAGAATGAGACTAGACAAGTGACACTTCTTTGTCCATGCTCACTACTCTGAATGTCTGAGGAGTTCCTAATGTTAATGCAGTGACTTGAAGACTGTCAGGAGAAAAAAACCATGTGTTATATCTGTGTCTTTTAGGGACGAAAAAAAAAATCAAACAAATTTAGCCAATTTGTAATACTTTGAATATATGCAGTGCACATGAGCAATAGATAGTCTCCAATGATTCTGACAGCAAGTAAACAAATGGTCATAGAGAGGAATAAGAAGAATCTTAAGCATAAGAGACAATGTTTGAATGAATGTAAAAGATAGAACATGTTTCCTCCTGTTGTCAGGCATGGATCTGCATTTCCCAAACTTTTACATTTCCTGCAAATACCAGTGGACCAGACTGCCAGCAAACACCTGTGGAAGCTCAAAGTCTTGCACCAAATGCTGTCATCAACACCCTTGCCACTGCAGAGATGAAGTCCAGATTCCATCAATTGCAGAAATCATCACTGACTCAAGAGTACAGCAAATAATGAATATAATTATTGTTTGTTTATTATTTATGCTACTTGTGGGATTCACTGATACTCAGAAATATAAGAGATCTTAATTAGACAACATTTAAAAACCAGGAAGTTCAACACATAATTGAAAGTATTCAAAGAGGTTGTCTATATGGAGTGAATTTTCCCCCTCCAGAGAGCGATTCAGCTCATCTATCTAAAATAGATATCTTAATGAGGAGATGAATTCTTTTTCAGAGATACCTCTTTCTCTCCACAGATTATAAGAGGAACCCTCCTGGCTAAAGTTAGCCAAAACTGATATCACCCTCACTAAACCATGTAGGATTGACTCTACCCATTCCC